AGGTGAGGTTTGGGATGCAGATAAAGTAGGAAATCAAAAGCTCAGCTTTCTCTTCACCACGACAGTTGGGTACATCTGCATTCCTGCTAATCACTCATGAGTAAGTTCTCCAAAAACCTGAAGGTGCTGGCTCTCATCCCAGCTGTTTCACACGGCATGCTGCAGGTCATGCTCCGATGAACCCAACAGAACCACAGAGATCCATTTCTGAGCCAAAGTGGACGCACTCCTCAGCCTGACTATAGGCTGATTATTGTCCATGAAAATCAAGAACAGGATTGGACAAAGGGGCCAACCATGGTCCACTGAGTGCTCTGCTTTGGGCCAAGAGATCTCTACCTTTGGTTATACACGGACCTAATGGCCGATAGCAGCAGGGGCCCTGTTCTCCTGCAGTACAGGTGCCTCCAGGGCCGTAAGCGTTCTTCAAGTCTACAAAGCACATGCAGACTGTTTGCACTGTTCCTCCTAGGTCCAAGTTTGGACAGCTGGCTGGAGGTTCCCTTCCAGCATCCTGAAATAAACTGGGCAGAATAATACCTCAGTAACTGGAGCACACGCTCCAGGTAACCAAGACAACCCCACAGTGTCTAGTCTTTAGCATCACATCCAAACCCAGTGTCTTGGCTGCAGGGAGCTTCTCAACTCCCCCAGTGACCTCTGCCAGCATACCAGTATAATTCATAAGACTTTCCCACAGTCCTAGGCTCTGCTTCCTCTGCGTCGGCTACTTTGACTGGAATGAAGCGTTCCTCAAAGTACTGTTTCCACCACCAACAGCATCTCAATATCAGGTCATCAGAGTCCTTCCTGACTGCAAATGGCCTGTGTCAAGTCCTTCCAGGACAGCTTGCCAGAACTTCTTTGTGGGCTGCCCAAAGTAGTCCTCCATGGCCTCCCTTAACTGTGCTCAGACTCTATTTTTTTTTCTTCAGCAACTGCTAGTGCCACAGCCCTTTTGGGGCAATACCCATTTTCTGCTTCACGAGACCCCCTGGGCCAACCAAGCCAAAGAGGCTCCTTGATCAGCTTTATGGCAAAAACTTAGAGATACTCAAGCAGAATAGCTCTAGTCCGGCCACCCAACACCTATTTTACTCCTAGCAAAGTATCATAGAAATAAACAGATATTTATTTAACAACTTTGTGGTCAATTTTCCAATTTAGAACCCCCACTTTACACTTCTGTATTTTGACTGTGGGAGTAAAACCTAAGCAGAGAAATGGGGTTCACACAGGAGCCCTCCTGGAGTGAGGCGAACGTGCTAACCACTGTATCACCACACTGTAGCAGCACGCTGGAATAGGTTGTGCTTTGTTAGTGCAGTACAGTACAGTGTAACAGTAGAGGGGAAAACTGAGTTTCCAATAAGATCCATTGACTTACTAAGCGTGCACGAAAAGCTGATGGAAACAGTGAAGCTTTTCTTTTCTTGGTGAGTTAAGTCCTTATACTGTAGAATCAAAACTCATCCATCAGCAGCCACCTTCAAAGGGCCTTGAGCAGCTACTGGAGCAGCTCTTTTTAAAGCATTTGAATGTCATCGGTCACGTGGGGATTAAACCTTCATGCACAGAATCACCGAGGATAAAAACAAACGCTGGTTTGCCTGCTGTGCTTAACAAACGTTTTCCTTGAAAGTTCTACTTTCTAGCATAATTACTGCTGTGGCACAGTGCTTTCCACGAGCGCCATGTTTCTCTGCTAATACCTCTGGTTTCATTCTACAGCTATCGTTAAGCCCTGACCACATATGCAGTCTGCTGGCAACTACACAGACAGTCAAGAGGCTTCAAACTTGTGCACTGCAGCACAACTTCAAGGTGTACAAAGAGCCCAGTCAGCCCTTCTTCAGTAATATCAGCTCAACCTGCAGATAAATGGGCTGTGAACCGAATAAACAGCGGTCACATGTACAGCCCAGTTTTCAATTACCCTGCGGTTAACCTCGCCAAAGAGGTCAGAGTCACTGCTCAGCACAGCAGCTCGTCCCTGCCGCTGTGTTTCAGTGCTGCTCCATGCTTCTCTGCTCTGACGTCTTTACCACACTGTTCCTCCTCACAAACACTTGGTCCAACAGTGCATCGCTCCAATCACATTTGCATTAGGACAAGATGGTGAATGGCCTGGTCTACGTGGCGCTCTAACTGGTCTAACTGGTCCACGTGGCGCTCTAACTGGTCTAACTGGTCCACGTGGCGCTCTAACTGG